CATGGTGGCTTGCACTATACAGGCCTTCGAAGTAGCAATACCTTAGCCGGAAAACATGCATTCTCCCTTGCGGGACAACTGATACTGTCAGGGCACTTATCTAAAGGACTTTGTTTGTGAAGTGCATTTATGACTTTTGCTTTGTGCACACGCGTCAGCGCGTGCCTTTTTATGTTCAGGTTTTGCGCAACTTTTGGCGTGTATTCGCGTGGCACGTGACCACGTTTGCTGGCATTTTCCTGCTCTATGCTGTACTGGATGAAGGTTAGTTGAAGTCCTCTAGGCTTCGCACCTCACCTGGCTCTCGCTAGCAAACCAGTCCAGGCGTAGACATGCACTTTGCTTAGGTAAACGGAAGCTCATGCCAGCAAGCTCGCTTAGCTGCATTTGGTGCTGCCGCAAATGGAGGATTCTGGCACTTCGAACCCTTTTTGCCTTTCCTTGGACCGCACGTAAAAATACTCTTGGCGGCCTGTTATCTCACTGTTCATCCAGGGCCACACGTCACGAAAAAACAGCACAAAGGAAGCTGTGCTTTGTATCTTAGAGGGGGCTCTTGCTTAACACTCAACAACGGCAGTAGACATGAATCAAATACGGCTTCTTTGTTCTCAGAATCATCATATTCTGCACAAAAGCAGTGGGCTATCACGACTCTGACGGCCGCGATAAGTTACGGGATGCTCCCTATCTTTGATTTGATGCTTGTTGACTACCGGACTCTCGGCAAGCCACAGTGGTGGCAGCTCGCATGGAGACGGGTTCCGATCCATTCAGCACGAATAGGCTTTGCATTGGCGGCTCTGGTGACCGTGGCATTAGATGGACTTGATTCGGCTCATTTGCAATGGACTGGTACGCTTTTAAGTTTTTTGTTGGTAACAGTTCAGCCCAGATGGTTGACTACATGTATACAGTCACAAACGTGGTGCGCCCATCTCGCACTGCGTTGTAGGACTTCTGAGCATCTTGTACTGGGCTTNTACAGTCACAAACGTGGTGCGCCCATCTCGCACTGCGTTGTAGGACTTCTGAGCATCTTGTACTGGGCTTTCTTCGTTTGTCATGGGGCTCACTATTTTCTCTACATGCGCATTCAAGACCGTATGCCGTTCTTTGTTTTGCTGTGGAGCAACAAGTGGTTAGCACCCCTGAGCAAGCCTTCAACGTATACAGGCAGCGTGCCACTACTAGCCGAGAACTTCACACACGTGGTGAGCGAACGTACCGGACTGGCATTGGATTCGCTAAGGGGTAGTGAAAGTGCTCTGTGAATGCTTTGCTGCTGACGCAAGTTGGCCACTGGATTGCCTCTCGTTTTGGTGCTTTGAAGGTATTGAAAGGGAATTTCGTCCTGTGCGCGTTTGCAGCTGAAGTATTCCTTTTTTTGGCTTTTTGCCATGGCTGCCAAGGCCTTGTATTGGCTTTACTTCGTCTTGCCGCCGATGGTTAGTGCTTCGAAGCATGTTGGCTACGTCTCTTGCCGCCCCGTATACATAAATTCTGTTGTCTTCTGGCCGGGTTATATTCCTGCTGTTCTACAAGCCTTTATTTGGGTACCAGCATTCCTCATATGGCTCTTCGACATGCAGGTATGCAATGAACTTGCCCGAAGGCGCCTGCATCTCCTCTGGCTGCACTTGGCATCTCGATACTTGTGAGGCGCTGGAAGGAACTTTAGGCGGAAAANCTGCATCTCCTCTGGCTGCACTTGGCATCTCGATACTTGTGAGGCGCTGGAAGGAACTTTAGGCGGAAAAGAAAGTAACATACAGGCACAGTTTCCCCCGCCTTTGTTTGCTTGTCTTTCCAGATTTTCTTTCTGTTGTTTGGAGCATTTTACGGTAGTATTGACGGCTACATCCGGCGCGTTGGCTACATAACAAACTGCCGGAAGATCCAGCAGCGCCTTCTCCCTATGTTGCCCCTCACAGCAGTCTTCCGTCTACCAGGAGAAAAAGCGACAGAGGATAAAGGGCTATTTGAAAGTACGTTTGCTTCGAACCCTTAGTTAACGCGCTGGCAAGGGGAATGCCGGCATTTCCAGAGAGTCACTATAGAGCCAAATGGCTCCTATCTGCGCAACACGGAATTCGTTCGTCCAGCCATTGCTCCGTACTTCTCATCTATTTACTTCAGGGATGCCTTCTGGAATAACGCAGCTGCACGGGGCTCTGCAGCTACGACGCGCAAGCAACGTAGACCGTTACTGCCGCCGCGGGACCCTTTCTAGGATGCCCACAAATGCGCGTGACCAACAGCAGTGGTGCGTGCAACCTCCTGCTTTCGCGCTTTCAAGCTCTCCCAACGACTTCCGAAGTCTTTCTGTGCAATATGCAAATACCACTGACCCCTACGTGAGCATGGTAAGTGATCTTACACCTCGATGGAAAGCATCCCGCTTCTCTAGTGGCCTGACAGCCCCAAGCCTGGTGCCGGAACAGTTCGCAGTTGTTTCCCCGTTATTCTTGTCCCAACCGCACACATTATGCATGCGTGTGTGCGTGTGTACTGGTGTTTGTGTGACTGCAGGTGCCTCAGATGATGGCCAAGACCGTGACTAGGTAAGATGCTGCCATCAGAAAGCAACCCGAATTCAAGCGAATTAGATGACAACTTAGCTTTACCTGCCTTCTTGCTTGCAGGAAAAACATCCCAATCGC